CGGAGCAGCATGTACGCCAAGGGGGGCAAGGGCTCGGCCGTGCCCTCCGACAGCCAGGCCCGCGAGAAGTGAGTCGGGGGGACCGGGGGCGGGGCTCGGCGGCCGCGCGGCTTCCGTGGGTCCCAACGCCGGCGGGCACCGCGCGGGGCACGTGGGTGCGGGGTGCAGGACGTGCGGTGCCTGAGCGCGCTCGAGGGGTCGCGAGATTTGCGGGGGCGCGCGAAGCCCGAGGGGCCTCGAGGGGTCGCGAGATATGTGGGAGCGCGCTAGAACCAAGGAGCATGAGGGGCTTAAGGGGGCGCGCGAGAGTCAGGGGGCGTGAGGGGTGCAGAGAGTCGTGAGGTTAAAAGGGGCGCGCGAGACCGGAGAGGTCGTGCGAGTTGAAGGGGTGCGGGAGAGCAGAGGGGCGCGAGATTTGCAGGGGCGCGCGAGACTCTAGGACGCGAGATTTGAGGGGGCGCGCGGGATCCGAGTTGGACTCGAGGGGCACGAGACCTCCCGGATGGTAGCTGTCTGCGTTGTTTTCCGCGTCCTCCAGGGAAGTTTACCCGGGCCTTAAGAGCTGGAGAGGGGAGTGGAGGGCATGAGGGACACCAGCCCCACCCTCGCGAGGCCACCTGTCACGCCGGCGGGGGGCAGCAGATGCTCTCGGGCTGGTGGGAGCACAGGTTCCTAATCCCCGGACCCTGCGGCGGGCTGGGGGCTGGGGGCGCTCGGAGCTGGGAGCACGGTCTGGGGGGGAGGCAGCCTGACATTGGGCTGCTGCGCCTGTCTTCCGCCACTGCCTCTCGCCTGCTCTGTGGCCTTAAGTGGGGGAGCACCCTCTCCTAGACTCACTTACCTTTCCTGAGAAGAGCGGACGTAACAACAGTGCCGTCTCTTAGGTTTGGGGAGCATTTCAAAGGTGCTTGGAGCTGTGACCGTCCCACAGCAAGGGCACTGAACGGTTTGCAGTATTGTTGGTATTGAGGGAGAAGGGCCTGCAGGAGGGATGGCTTGCCATGGCTGATGGCAGTGGTCGATTCTCAGGATGCTAGGAGTCCAGCCGCGCAGGGTGGCCTGGGGCGGGAAACCGGTTGCTGGAGCGGAGAGGAGGCTGGGTCATCAGGGAGAGGTCCCATGATGACCCCCCTTGAAGGCTAGGGCAGGAGTGAAGACTTGAAGGTCTGGGCAGTGAAGAGGAGCCCTGTATGTGGACTGACATTGGGACCCCCTGCTCCCCCCACAAGGTTGAGTGTCCACTCTCTGCCCAGCCTTGGGGTCATTTTGGAGAAGTGATTCTTCAGGCCAGAAGATGCTGGGCAGATGATTCCTCTTCCAGGCCCCTTTTGTCTGTCTGCACAGTTGGGAGGTTGGGCCCCATTTCCAAGCGCTGTTAATCAGGAAGATGTTTCACAACAGGCACCTAACTCCTGTCCAGGTTGGAAGCAGGGAGTGTCTGGCATGGCCACCCCATCCCTGGGGATCCTGGCGTGTCCTCGCCATCTTTGTACTCTGGCTGCTGGGTCTGGGGGCTACCACCCCCCAATGGGCATCATTCACTTGTTCAGCAGACGTGGTGGGCTGGGTCCTGGAGTGTAGTGGTCTGGTTAGGCAGGCTCTGGCCATAAGAAGCCTACATCCAGTAGGGAGGCAGGCGTTGAGTTACCCAGCAAGCTGATTGGGTGCTCTTCAGATGTGCTATGAAGAAAGCAAAGTGGGAAAGTGGGTGATAGTGAAGTATGGGGGGATGTGAGGTGTGCAGAGACCTGGAGGAAAAGCAGACAGCTGAGGGCACAGCAAGTGCAAAGGCCCTGGGTTGAGGCCAGGCCAAGGCGCTGGGGCTGGTGCCCCGGGTGGGGGAAGGGAAAGTGCACTCTGGCTGCTGTGTGGAGTAGGGCTTACAAGGGGTTGGGACTAGAGGGCCAGGGGACCTGGGAGAGGCGGGCACATTTACTGGGGAGAGGGTTGATGATGGCAGCTTAGGTGGTGGTCATGCAGATAAGAGAAGAGAGGGAATGATAGGTTTGAGCTGGAGGTGGTGGGGTCTGGAGTTGGGTTTGGAGGGATTTTGATTTTTTGAACCTGCCCTTGACTCTTGGCCAGGGCTGGAAGAGGGGGTTATCCAAATTCCTGGCCTCCTTCCCCCGTCAACCCCCCTTCCCTAGCCTGATCAGCGGAGGTTCTCAGAGAACGCTGGATGTGTAGAAACGCCTCATGTGGAGGCTGAAGTTCCCATCATGTCACACCTGTTCTCCAGTCCTGTTTTTTGGCCGAAGCCTTCCTGTGCTCATCCGTTTCTCGTGGAGGGTCCTGTATAAGTGTCAGTTTGGAGGTAGGGTTCTGCTGCTACACAAAGTTTGGAAAACACCAGATGGTTGCATCCCCCATTTCACCGATCGGGAGGCCGGGCCCCAGAGAGGAGGTGCCATGCCAGGGTCTCAGGTTCTGGTGCACGGGAGAACTCTCAGAAGCGTGGGGGCCAACACATTGGAGAGGCAGGCTGGGTGCTCTGAGCCTTGGTTTCCTCACCAGCGATGTGGACAAGCGGCCTTGCAGGATTCTCCCAAGGACTGGGAGAGAGGCTGCCCACAGAGCCTGCACAGGCAGCCACCCACTGAGCCACTTCCTGTCTCTGGGCCTTGGTTTCCTCTTCCGTGAAATGGGGTGAAGGGGGTTACACTGCTCAGGTCCCTGACTCTCCGGGACTGTGTTTTCCTCCCACCCTCCTGCCCTTCCTCCCCTTCCTTTGGGCTCCTGTCCTGAGCCACCTCTGGCTCCCGATCTCAACATTAGGCCTGGGCCAGCCTGTCCCAGAAACGGACCAAGCGTCTGCTGGGTGTGCGGAAGGGGGGGTCCCTGCCCCTGGGGGCTCATGGCAAACCAGTGACTGCAAAGCCCAGGGAGATCAATGATGGGGGGGGCAGGGTGGGCCGCACGTGGGAAGACATAGCCTCTCCTTCTGTAAATGATAAACACTGCCAACCTACAGGGGAGCCCAGGAGCATTACTGCCCAGAACTGACCAGCGCTTGTGTGTGGTCATTGGTTTCCGGTCTTTTTTAATAAGGGGACAAAGGTGACTGGGACAGTTGAAGGCTCTTTTGTCCCTTTATATCTCTCCCCCTTTAGCCCAGGAGGCTTCCGTCCTGGACTGGGGAAGAGGTCTGACCGTTGACTCTGTGTGGACATCCTCATACAGCACAGCGTGCAGCGCCACGAGTGCTGCCCAGTGGGCAGGGAAGCGTTCCACACATGACGGCCACGGTCGGGGTCACAGCGCCTCTGTGTTCCCAGGACTGGTTCTGAGAGAGCACGAGTGGTTTGTTCGTTAAGCCTAGCAGGCGAGGCCATCGCCGTGTGTCCGTCCCGACCCTGGCCGGGCTTCCAGGTGTAGCCATGGTATCCTTGTTCTCGGGGCACACGGGAAAGAGGTTCTTGAGAAGGCATCCGCACGCTAAGTCCTGGAGGCTGAGCAGAGCTGGCCGGCACAGCGGAGCCTCGGGGAAGGGCTTGAGAAGAGGCTGCGTCTGGGGAGGAGACAGGAGGAGGAGGGAGGCTGGGGAAGGCCAGGGTGGAATTTGAGAGTGGGGGTCATCACTCTGGCTGCTGGTGGAAGAAGGGTCGCAGGAGGCTGATGAGGAGGGTGGCAGAGGGGAGGGAGCAAGTGTGTGGGCTGGAAGTCCCTTTGGGGCATCAGGGGGACCTGGTGATGGATTAGCCCGGGGTGGGGGGTGGTGATAGAGGTCGTCTCCCAGCCCCCAGCAGCGTGTACACTGGGCTTTAAGGGGGAGGAGGGCGCCGGGCAGGGAGTGCTTTGCACCGTGATTCTTGATAATGAAGGTGGTAGTGCCATGTTTCAGTCCAAGAGGCTCTCACGTCTCATTATGTCACCACTTCCTGGCACAGTCCCGTGTGCACTTCTCCCTGGGAGCACCCCAGATCCGGGCACCCGTGTCCCCCAGGTCACACGTTCTTTCTGGAGGGAGGGCCTCCCTGGGGCTACCCCAGCTCCCTTCCACCCATCTACCCTTCTGCGGTGGGATCCCCTCCGATGGGATGGGTGGGCTCTTTGCTCTTTGTTCCATAGGTCATCACCGGGTGGGGGGTGGAATCTGGAGAAGATTTAGATCCCGAGCCCAGGGCCTAGACGGTGACACCCCAAGCCGGATGCCCCCCGTGAGGGAGGGCCCTGCAGGTCCCCAAACCACCTGGCCAAACGTCCAGGCTTCACAGCTTTTCACCGAAAATTAACAAAAACACTTCTTCCCTGAGACTCGATCCTGGTAAAAATTAAAGTATCAACATGTAAGAGAAATCAGCAAACCGAAGACTTTCTCTGGCTTCTCTTTGCTCTTGGGATGAAACCCCAAATCCTTCACCTGGAAATGCTAACACTAACCTTTCTCAGTGCTCACCAGACCACCTTAGTTAATCCTCTGATATCCAAGGGTGGGAGCGGTGTTGGTTGTTCATTCCTCCAGGGGTAGGAGCTTGGGGCACAGAATGCCCGGGCTCTGTTATAAGGAGAGAGACCAAGTCCCCACCCTCCCAAAGCCACATTCCAGTGGGGGCTGCAGCCAGAGAGCAGAGACGTGTGTCAGATGGAGATAAATAAGATGGGGGGATGGAGCAGGATGAGGGTTAGATGTGGCAGCAAAGCCTCTGACAGGTGACATCGGAGCCATGAAGGTTTCTAGGCAGATGTGCCCCAGGCAGGGGAAACAGCCTGTGCCAAGGCCCTGGGGTGGTTGGTGGCCAGTGTGGGGGCGCCCTGGAGGGTCTGAGCTAGGAGTGCTGTGGGGAGGGGGCTGTAGACTCTAGGGGCTGGGAAGAGAGGAGCTCTGGAGGGGCCCTGTCCAAATCCAGGCAAGAAGTGGCAGTGCCTGGACCAGGTATGCAATGGGGAAGGCAGGGAGAGGGCTCCAAATCAGGAGAGAGCTTTCTCCTTAAGGTTTTCCCTAAATTCAGTAAGTACGGTGATCTCGGGGACAGCAGGATGGATCTTCATGTCTGCGCACACCTGTGTGAGTCAAGGCCAGACACCCGGGTCAGACCACATGGGGGGCGCCAGAGGGATTGGAGAGGAAGAAGCTGGGGTGGGGGCACGTCGAGCTGGGCCTTTCGGGGTCAGGTGGATGGCGGACCTCGAGTTCCGGGAGGCCAGGCTGAGCACTCCGTGGGCAGCTGCACGAGGACGTCATCAAAGCGGGAGGGGAGGCCGCCCAGGGAGAGGGGATGGGGGGCCTGAGGCGGAGCGGGGAGAAGCGTGGGCAGGCTGGCTCCTGGACCTGCGTCCTGGGTCACACGCCACCGCTAAACAGTCAAGGGCACGGGGAGATGGAGAAGAGCCCAGCGTGCTGGCAGCGCAGAGCTCTTGGTGGATGTGGTGGGAGCCGAGGGCCACTTCTTCAGGAGGCCCCCTGAGCCCTGAGGAGAGGCCCCCTGAGCCCTGCGGCGGTGGCCAGAATGCAGCAGGGCAGGACTGCAGCCTTCCTGCCCTCCCCTGCTCGGCGTCCTTCCTTCCTCAGGCAGCCTACCTGAGGGCTCCGCTCCGTCTTGCTCTGTCTCTGGGCGTGTCACTCCCCCCCTCAGCCTTTCCTGCTCCCTGCCCTGACCCCCAAAGTGGGCGGGGGGCCAGTTGGACCCCTCTCAGCCTCTGTCCTCGCCCAGAGGGTGAGGCCGTGGGCAGGCCTGGGCTGGTCAGGTCTGCTCTGGCCCCTTGGCTGTTCACACTCATTCCTGCACAGATGGATGTGGGCCTGGGGGACGCAGGCCACTTGTGAAGGCTCAGGAAGCCTCTAGAAAGGAAGGAGGTCACAGGAGTGGGTTGCACAGGTGAGCCTGGAGGCCGGGGGCCAGGAGGGTGACTGGATTGGAGAAGCGCAGATGTTGGAGATTGGAGACTGCTGGGTGGTACGACGTCAGAATCTAGTGGGCAGGGGGCCAGTGGGTGGAGGTGCTACTGAGAGGGGGTGATAACATGGCCAGTCTTAGCGGTAACTACACTCAGAGCTGCGTGACCGCCCACAGTCCTCCCCCTGTGCCCCGTCCCTGTCCCTTGGGTGGCCGTCACAGCTCAAATGGGGTGGTGTGAGAGGTAGACACGGCTCGCCCTGAGATAGCTGCCTACCCCGGCCCCCCAGTGTCCCCCCTTGTCTTTCCGTAGCACACACTACGTTCCAACCCACCCTGTAACCTACCTTCTTTGTGTCTCTCCCCGCGAGCAGGTAGCCTCCAGGGAGACAGGTCTGTTGTGTTCACTGCACAAGGAGGCACTGGGTGAACGCTGAAGGAACGAATGAGTGAAAAGGTGGATGGATGAAGGAAGGAAGGAAGGAAGAGGGTCCAGGGCAAGGGCAGAAGCCGTGGGGCGGGGCGTGCCCTGGTGAGGCCTGACCAGGGGCCGGGGGTTGGTCTGATGGGGGCTGGGACGTGCACATGGAGTGGCCTGGCCGGGAAGGTGGGGGAGGGCAGGAGCACGAGTCAAAGTAAGGTTATTTTAGGATGGGCCTGCGGCAGGGCAGGGCGGCCAGCTGAGCGTGGAGGCCTCTGGAAGGGCCTCCAGCCTTCACCAGAGGCACAGCCTCAAGCTGGTCCTTGGGGAGCCCCCAGGCTTGGATCTAGACGCCTCCCCCGCCCTGGGGCCTGGCTGGGCAGTAGGAGGCCCCAGGGTACCCGGAGGGGCTGGTACCAGTGGAGCGGATGGCTGGGGAATGGGTGACCCAGGTGGGTGGGGAGTTGTCCCTCTGCCCACCAATGTGGAAGACCAATTGGAGGGTGGTGGAGGCCAAGGATGGAGAGCCCTAGAAGGTGGTGTGGATGGGCCAGCCTCCCTGTGTGGCCCTTGGAGGGCACTGCCAGACAGAGGGTGGTCCATGCTCTTGGGGTGGGCAGTGGCCAAGTTGGTATATCCAGGGGTACCAGGCACAGTGGGTGTCTAGGCAGGGCGGTGCCATGGCAGCCGAGGGGCACTGCTGGCCTTTCCTCAGCTCACCTGCCCCCATTGCCCGAGACTCCCCTTGGGGGCCTGGTATGGAGAGGTCCTGGCCACTAGGTGGACGGGCACTGACCCCAAGGAAGAGGCTGGCATCCAGGGACACTGGAGAAGGAAGAGCTCAGGGCGGGGGCCTTTCTCCTTCCTCAGCAGGCAAGGCTGGGAGTGCTTCAGGTGCTGGGCCCTGGCCACACTGCCCAGGGTGCCCTTGGGGAGACCCCACCCACTGCACAGTCTGGCACAACGCCCAGGAGCCCTGTTCCCGGGCAGAAGACCTCCCTGGGGTCAAGGCTGCTCTGGGATCTGGGCATCAGCAGGATGGGCCAGGTCTTGGTCCACAAGGGGGTGTTGAACTAAGCAGAATTCATCCTGGAAGTGGAGGGTCTAGGACTGCTAGGAGGGCTGCCTAGAGGAGGGGCCTGCAGGCTGGGTGTTGATGGATGTGTGGGAGTTGGCCTGGTGGAGCAACTGGTGAAGAGACCATCTTTCATGAGGGGTGGGGGAAATGGGGGGCATTGGGGGACCAGCCGGGGGGGCAGCGAGTGAGGCTGGGGTGGACGTGATGAGGGGCTCACTATGGGCCCCTGCCTGTCCTCTCCACCTGCCCGCTGGAGGGGAGGGCCTTCAGGGCTGGCCCCAGGCCTCCTGAGGGCTAGCCCCCACCCTGCCCGCCCACCTGCCCACAGGTTGGCGCTGTACGTGTACGAGTACCTGCTGCACGTTGGTGCCCAGAAGTCAGCCCAGACCTTTCTGTCCGAGGTAAGCCGGCCCAGCCCTTCCTTGCCACCCATCCAGGGTCCTCCCTACTGTCCTTCCTTTGGGGCTCCAGTCAGGGGTCGAGTTGCCCCTCTGACGGCCCTGAGAACTGAGGGCTGGGGCAGGCCAGGGCCCACAGGCTGGTATCCAGATGTCTGTCCATCCATCTGAGGGTCTGCCGCTCGCTCCTCTGCCCCTCCGCTCACCCGGTTACCCTGCTCCCACTGGTCCCCTGCCCCGTGTTCCCTGGGCACCATGCTGGGCGGGGGCTGCCTCAGGTGGGGCCGGGTGGAGGGCCCTCACCTGCCTTCCCTCTCCCTGCAGATCCGATGGGAGAAGAACATTACGCTGGGGGAGCCCCCGGGCTTCCTGCATTCCTGGTGGTGGTGCGTGCGGGACTGGCGCAGGCGGGCCATGGAGGGGGCCGGGTGGGGGCGCACCGGGAAACCATCGTCCACCTGCCGTCCACAGCGTGTTCTGGGACTTGTACTGTGCAGCGCCCGACCGCAGAGAGGCGTGCGAGCACTCAAGTGAGGCCAAGGCCTTCCAGGACTACGTGAGTCCAGGGCTGGGGCGTGGGCAGGGCGTGGGCAGGGGGCCAGGCCTCGGGGTTTGATCTTGGATCTTGGCCACTTCTGGGTGGTCCCTATGCCCTCCACTCGGCCCAGGGTCACTTACAAGGTGGGAGAGGCTGCTTCCACTGCACCCAGCTACTGAGGGTCCCCACAGCCACCCACACCCTCCCAAGGCCAGCCCCTTCTCCTCCCTCTTGTGAACCCAGGGTGGAGCCAGGGTAGACAGAGCCACAGCTCAGGCCTCCCTCACTGCCAGTCTCCTCCCACCCCAGTTTTTCTGAGTCTTCTGAGGTGGGGCCGGGGCGGGGGTGGCAGGGGTGGCAAAGGGCCAGTGCGCCCCAGCAGTAGAAGCGAGCACTGCACACCTTTCCTGAGCTAGTCGGTGCCGGGGCTGCTGACTCCACCGCTTTGGCCTGTTTCCCTCTGCTTTGAGTGGGGGTGAGAGGCCTGTTTGAAGAGGAACGGGCGGGAGTGGTGGGGGAGTGTTATGTGCCTGGGGGACTGCATTCTCTTGTTTTGGGGGAGCAGATGGCAGCCCCCTGCCTTTATCTTTGCCCTGGCCTGTGGGGCTTGGCCACCTGGCCCCTCAGAGAAATCTTGGGCAGGCCAGGGAGGGCTTGGGGCTGTGGGTTTGAGGGGGCAGCAGTGGCTCAGCTGGCTTCTAGGGGTGGGGCAGCTCCAGGCGAGTCCCCCCTCCTCCCTTGTGTACCCATTCTCATACAGCTGGCGCCTCTGCCCTTCTTTGCCTCCTCGGGCCTCCCAGGAGGTGGCGGTCCCCACCTCTCTCTGTAGCTGGCCAGGGTCGTACACTATGCACTACTGCACTGCCTCCCTGCAGAGCACCCCCTTCTGCCCCCTGCATGGGAGAGGAGGCCTCTGCACGGTCGGGCTGCAGCCCGCGAGAGGTAGGGGTTCACCGTGTCTCTGAAGATGCTCCACACGCGCTGCGTGCGTGCATGGGAGCCGGAGACACTGCTGTTCGCTCCCATCGGATCCCAGTGCTCGTGTGCCGTCCCCCTGCCCCGGTCCCGCCAGAACTGGGGCCCCAGGGGTGTCTGGAGCTATGTGCGCGTGACTTCACGTGGGCTCTCTATCCGCAGTCGAGCCCCAGCCCCCTCCCTGCGCCTCTCACTTGGGCCCCCTTCCTCCCTTGCCCCTGCTCCGCCGGGGTTTAGCTGCCTCTGTGGGCGTCTCTGGGGAGGGCCGAGCGCGAAGTCTCCCCGTAGGCGTGAGCGCGCTTCCCGGGGGCGCGCCGGTTACCATGGCAGCGGGGCGCGTCCGGGGAGCCGGCGCCGGCACAGCGGGCTGAGGGCGCCCGGCCCCCGGGTGACGGGGTCCCTGCGGCCTCTGGCAGAAGCCGGGCGCACGTCCTGCCTAGCCGCTCTAACTGGGGCGGGGGGGCCCTGCCCGCATTGATCGGGGCCCTCCTCCCGCCCCTCCGCGCTCCCCGGCCGACCTCTGCATCTCCAGGAAACGCGAGCGCGCCCAGCCGGTCGTCATGGCAACGCGGGTGGGGCCCGGGCGCCTCTGGGTGGATGATTGACGTGGGGGGTCCAGCCCGCGCCACCCCCCTGGGAGGGTGGGCAGGCCCTGAATTAACCCTTCAGGGCCTAGAGTTGGGGAGCCGCAGGGGGCGAGGGGTACCCCATATATCTCCGCCCCCAACACCTCGTGGTTGGGAGCCCGGCGCGCAACCACCCCAACCTCCGCTCTCCCCGACCAGGAAATGCTTTGGCGCCTGCCGTGGCTCGGAAGGGGGGCTGCTCTCCATATGGGGTAGGCAGTGGAGGGTAGACAGGTCCAGGGCTCAGAGCTGATCCCCTCCAGCCGCTGAGGCAGACACCTGCGAGAGTAGCTGCTCCAGGCCCATCAAGCTGTGTGTTTGCAGTCAGCAGCGGGGCTGAGAGCTTTGCTGCCCCCTCTCACCCCCCCATTCCCCCCGCCCCCGGGTTGCTCGGGCTTTCAGGTGATTTGTGCTGGGCCCTGGGAGTGCTGTCGGTCAAGCCTGCGGAGGATTCCTACCTCTCCAGCTTGGGGCCTGGGCCGGAGTCCTTTAGAGGCTGACCTTTGAGAAGGAGCAGGAAGGGGGCCGGCCGCAGTCTCAAAGGGGGAGGGGCCTGTCTCAGGGGCCCTACTCTGACCTAGCCAAGGGGCCCCTTTCCCCACTCCTGTAGGGCAGGAAGCGCTGTGTGGCTGGGGGTGAAGTGTTAACCCCTCTGTGCTCAAGTGGCTGCAGTTCCACAAATTCCTGAGCGCCCCTGTGTGCTGGCTTGTGCCAGCCCCAGGGACAGCAGTGACCCAGACAAACCATCTCCTTCTTTTGGGGCCTAGGGGGGAGGCAGAGGGCAGATGATGCAGACAGTCACAAGTCAGGGGGCCCCCAGAGAAGTGCTTTCCCCCTACTCTGTGCCTGCAGTGTCCTGCCCCTTCCCTGTCTGTCCTTTGATCATGTCCCCTGTGCCCTGGGAGACTAGGCTCCATCCCAGCTCTCCCACCCCTCCTGCCTGGAACTTGGAACTGACCAGAGGAAGTGGCCTGTCAGCCTGTCCCCCTGCCAGCTCTGGGCCTGCCACCAGCATCTCCGCCCTCGGCAGACAGGGGAACTCCCTTCTCTAGCACCCAGTCTCCCCTCCTCCATCTGAAGAGAGGTTGGGGGCCTGGAGACCCCCCCCCAGAGTCCTGCTCTTCCTTCCTCTTCCTCCTGATCTCTGTGCCGCTCCAAGGAGGGGCCCTCCAGGAGGGAGGTTCATCTCGAAGACGCGGTTGATGTTTTTATTTGGGGTATCTTGGGTAGAGCTGGGGACCCAGCTAAGCTGCCTTGCCAGCCAGGAGGACACAGGGCAGTTGGGATGGGCCCAGAGTTGGGGACTGCACTCGCCTGGGTCTGAGGTTGCACGCAGGCAGAAAGAACAAGCCTGTGCTAGAAAGAGGAGGTGCACACTGGAGTCCTACGTTGCTGGCATTTTCAGACCCCCAGAATCCTCAGGCTTGGGAATCACTGGGGGCTGGGATCCCCGGCTCCCTGGCCACCTCCAGGGTCTTGGGGGCAGCCCCTGCTGAGTCACCCACATATCCAAGCCACGTCAGGGTTAAGCCAGGGTGGGAGGTCGGGCAGCTGCTCTTCCATCACCTAGAGAGACCCACAGGCATCCTCCCACGCGTGGACAGAGGGGGAGATGGCCTGGGTTCCCCATCCCGTGGGGCCAGCTGCTTGGGGAGAGGAAGGGACACTAGGGCAGGAAGTGGCCTGACCTGGCTCTGCGATCTCCCCTGCCCTGCAGAGCGCTGCAGCCGCCCCCAGCCCTGTGATGGGGAGCATGGCCCCCAACGATGCATTGGCAGCAGGCCCCATGGCACCCGGCTTCTTCCAGGTACAGTCAGGGCTGGTTGCCCCCTGTCCCCTGACCCTAGGTGGGAGGGTGACAGAGGCTTGGGCAGTGACGGGGGTGGGGTCCCATGTGGGGAGAGGCCCTGAGGCCCACAGGCTGGAGTGGGGTGGGAGGGCTGTTGGTGCGGTGGGTATGTTCTTGCCGGCCTTGGTGGGGCCAGGGAAGAGGGGCATATGGCCTGGGCCCCATCGCAGGAGAGGGCGTGGTCTCTGCACACCTGGCCTTCGAGGATGCGTGCCAAGATGCCTGGGGCCGCGGAGTGTGGCTCTCTGAGCCACGGGTCCTGTCCGTGACCCTTCCCGTGGGCAACCCCACCCCCACCCCGTCCTACAGTTGAGCGAGCGCAGGGGCTGGCCAGCTCTCCCACCTCCATGGCGTCCCCTTCCCCTTCCCCGACAGGCTCAGCAGAGCCACAGGAAACAGTGGGCTTCGGGTGATCTCGGTTTTCCCAACCCATCTGGTTATGTCCTCCTAGGGCCCCCCCGACTCCCAGCCGCCCCCCCACAACCCCAACGCCCCCACGATGGGGCCTCACGTTCAGTAAGGACCTGTGACGCCCCGACCCCAGCCACTCGAGCCCCCGCCCCACAGCGCTCGCACGCACCGGGCACCGGCTGGCTGAGGTCTGCTGGCTGGTCCTGGAGGAGGGGGCTGTCCAGGCTGGGGGCCCGGGTGCAGCAGGAACAGGGTAGCTTTGGGGCGTGCGCGGGTGGGGGGAGGTGCTGATCCTCGGCCCACCTCTTTTAGCCCTTCATGTCACCGCGGTTCCCGGGGGGCCCCCGACCCACCCTGCGGATGCCGAGTCAGGTGAGAGAGGAATGAGGGGAGGGAGGGCAGGAGTTGGGTCAGAGTGGGGGCACCCACACTCAGTGCTGCCACGCCCCCTCCTCAGCCTCCCGTGGGCCTCCCCGGCTCCCAGCCCCTCCTTCCTGGCGCCATGGACCCCTCCCCACGAGCTCAGGGTGAGTAGAGAAGTCCAGCTGCTGTATCCCCACCACCCATCAGGACCCCAGCTCCAAGCACCCCAGCCCTGGTACCTCATTGTGCAGACCCCCGCCCCCTCCCCGCGTGTTTTCACACTGGGGAGTGGTCCTGGCCTGAGTCCCCTTCCTTCTGCCCCCACCGCAGGGCATCCGAGCATGGGCCCAGTGCAGAGGGTGACGCCTCCACGGGGCATGGCCAGCGTTGGGCTCCAGGTAAGGGCTGGGTCCAAGTGGGGGTGGGCATCAGGGGCTCTCTTCCTCTGGCCTGCATTCACGGCCCTTTGACTTCACAGAGCTACGGAGGTGGAATGCGGCCCCCGCCCAACTCGCTCGCCGGCCCAGGCCTGCCCACCGTGAACATGTAAGGTCCCCAGGGATGCTGGGAGTGTGCCCGTGGGGGCCCCCCTCCCAGCTTCATGGGCTGGGTATGCTGGGGCAGACCCCGAACCCGCACAACAGCCCCCAATATATTGTTTACTCCCCTGTTGGGTGGGGAAACTTGGGCGCAAAAACCAGTGGTGATGGGTTGGGATCTGAAGGCTGGCCTGGAGCCCGTGCACGGTTACCACTTCTCATCTATGCCTGGTCTGCCAGCCTGTCTGGGGGCACATGGGGCGGGGGTGGGGGTGGTTGTGTGTCACCGGGCCTCGCCCCAGGATCCACCCACCGGTTCTTCTAGGGGCCCCGGAGTGCGAGGCCCGTGGGCCAGCCCCAGTGGCAACTCGGTGAGTCTCAGGCTGGGGGCCGAAGGGAGTGGGGGGGTCGGAGGTATGTGGGGGGTAGGGTGGGCGCCCTACTCACAGCTGCCCCTCTCCCCAGATCCCCTACTCTTCCTCCTCCCCCGGCACTTACTCGGTGAGTGGGGCCGAGGCTGGGCCACCCAACCCGGGGGCAAGGGTTGTGGGGTGGCAGATGGGGGCCTTTCTCACCTTGTCTCTCCCTCCGTGTGCAGGGACCCCCAGGAGGAGGTGGGCCCCCTGGAACCCCCATCATGCCCAGCCCTGGAGGTACTAGGGCTTGGGCGGCGTGTGGGGAGGGGTGTGCTTGGGAGGAGCCCTCCCGCCCCACCCCCTCACGCGCCGCCCTCTCTCCCAGACTCCACCAACTCCAGCGAGAACATGTACACCATCATGAATCCCATCGGGCCGGGCGCGGGCCGGGCTAACGTGAGTGGGTTGCCGGTGGGGGCCGCGGCAGGCGGTGACCTGCTGGGAGGGCTGGTGGCCCGAGTCCCACGCTGCCCCTCTGCCCACAGTTTCCCCTGGGCCTTGGCCCCGAGGGCCCCATGGCCGCCATGAGTGCGATGGAGCCTCACCACGTGAACGGATCCCTGGGTGAGCGCGCGGCCCGGGACACCCCCAATCCCACCTTCCTTCGCGAGCTTCGGGCGCCCCCTGGCGGCCTGTGTTCTCTGCCGGGGCGTCGGGGTCGCTCCCGGAACCTCCGTGGGGCGGCGACCCGGGCTGTGCTGAGGGAAGGGTCCAGTAGCTAAACCGTGGGGACGCCGGACCGTCAGCACTGACCCCCCCCGTCCAGGTCCTCTGCCCGGGACCCCCAGCGGGCTGGGCCGAGGGAGGGGGCGTGGCCGTGGGGGAAGTTCCGGGAGGGGTTGGTGACCCCGGCTCCCGGGGGCGCGCCTGGCGCAGGCGCGTCTGAGCCGCGTGTCCGCCGTCTATCGGTCCACAGGCTCGGGCGACTTGGACGGGTTGCCGAAGGTGAGGGGCCGGGCTCCTGCGGGGACGGGGCGTGAGGCCCGCGCGGGGGCGGGGATGCGGGGGCGGCCCGAATGCAGAGGCCTCGTCCAGGTGGGCCGCGCGGCGGGCAGGGCCTGGCCCGGGGGCGGGGAGTTCCGCGCTGACCGCGGCCGCCCCCAGAGCTCCCCCGGCGCCGTGGCCGGCCTGAGCAACGCCCCGGGCACCCCGCGGGATGACGGCGAGATGGCGGCCGCCGGGACCTTCCTGCACCCGTTCCCGAGCGAAAGCGTAAGCGACTGCGTCGACTCCCCCCCCGCGGCGGCGTCGGGCCGGAGGGGCCTGGCAGGCAGGCCCCGGCGGGGCGGCCGGGGGGCCAGAGCAAGACCGTGACCGCGGCGGGCCAGGTGGGGGGGCGGCCGCGGCATCCTTCCTCTCTTTTCTCCCTCCCCCGCTCCTGTCTCACCACCCTGTCCCTTTCCCCCTCTGGGACCCGCGCCCCAGGGCGGCTTCCCCACCTTTCGCCACCTGTCTCCTTCCCTCCCTACATCTGCCCCGTCCCGCATTCTCCCCGGGGGGCGGGTCCCAGTCTAGGCCGGAGCTGAGCCCGCCCCCGCGCGCCATCTCCTCGTCTCTCCGCAGTACTCGCCCGGGATGACCATGAGCGTGTGATGGGGCAGCAGCCCCGTGCCCACTGCCGGCCTTGGCTTCTGCCGAGCACCCCTGCCCAGGGTCAAGGTCCAGGGGCTCGGGTGGTCTGCAGGGTGAGGGTCTGAGGTCACACCTCAGGCAGCTGGACTCCCGGTCAAGGCTTGGACGGCTGGGAGGCCGCGCACGCAGAACTCTGATTTTATTAAAAAACGCAAGGACCTCAGAGACATTCTTTCCTATGTGGGCCCTTCCACCATTTCTGTTTTGGCCTGGGGGGCTCCTTGGGGGACTGCCTTTCCCCTGGACAGCAAGGGGTGGGCCCCCATCAATAAATGTAACTGGGTTTTGGTATTTGGTATCTGGTCTTAGATTTCTTGATCTCCGCGTGTAGCCACATCCTCCATCCTGCGGTCTTAGCCCTACCTTCAAGGGCTGGGGTTAGGCAGAGGCCTCGGAAGTTTGGGAAGGTCCCTTAAAAGTTGGGATAACAGTTTTGAAGGGTAGGTAGGAATCTGACCAGGTGAAAAGCAGAGCTAGGCCTGGAGTTGGGGGTGTGTTAGTTAGATCACAGGCACCAAGAACCCAGAGATGTGGCTGACAGTGGCACTGGCTTTATTGTGTTGCCGGGGAGAGGGGGCTGGAAGGGTCGGGTCCTGAGGGGCAGTGGAAGCAGGAGTCATGGGGGGTCTGTATGGCCAGGGCTCAGGTGGTGAGCATCTGGGGTGCCTCAGCCTTTGAGTGCCCTTTGGTGTCACCGATACAGCCATTGGGGGCAGTTGCGGCCGATCCTTTCTTGCAAGGCCCAGGGCAGGCAGCCACAGGCTCGCCCCCCCTGAGGCAGGGGCGCTCCATCTTGTGCTCTAGAAGCATGTGGTTCTGCGGTGGGAGCCCCACGCAGGCCCTGGGGGACGGTCAGGGCTCAACAGCCAGACCCCGAGGCCAGCGCCCCCCAGCCTCCAATCCCTAGGCCCTGTGCACAGCCCCTCGACTGCACATATGGGCCACTGGTGGGGACCCCAAGGCCGGGGCGCACCTGAGGATGTTCTCAATGCAGCTGCGCTGGCGGAAGAGCGCGTTGACCACCGGGCTGCCCGGCGGCACGAGAGGCGCCTTGAAGAGGAAGCTGAGCAGTGACAGCACTGGGTGGAAAGTCTGCAGCTCGGGGTCGGCATCTGTGCAGAAGCTCACACGCTGGCACAGCTCTGTCAGCAGCGCCAGGTCCAGCATGATGGGCGCGGCCAGGAGCGAGTCCTGCGGGGCCGGCAGGTCAAGAGTGGGGCAGGGCTGGCAGGCAGCCCCACTCCGCCCCAAGCGCTCCACACCTCGCACGTGTTGTGCAGCACCAGAGTGTTGGTGCCGCCCATCATCAGCTCCGACGTGTACTCATCCAGTGCACGCTTGCTGTCACCCACATACGGCACGTACTTGATGACCACCTGGGAGGCAGCTCGAGGTCACAGGGGTCCCAGCCCACCTCTGTTGGGAGCTCCCCATCCCCCACCCCACCCGTGCCCCACGAACGCAGTGGTCGGGCTCCTCGCCGGGTGCGTAGAGCACTGGGTTGCTCTGCACCATGTCGTCCACCACGCTGCTCTTGGACACCTCCTTGGCACGGAACTGGGGCGGTGCTGACAGGTTCTGCCCATCGTTGTTGCCCAGGTGGTTGTAGCTCACGATGGACATGGTCTGTGGGAATGAGGAGCCCCACTTGCAATGCGGGCCTCCGCATCGCATAAGCCTGGTGGCACCCCCGTTGAATCATGAATCCCCCAGGCCCACGCACCTTGAGGCCAGAGCCGATAAGGAAGTCCACAAGCACGGACTTGACCTTGGTCTGGCCAGACTTGAAGTCGTCTCCGCCCACAAAGACCCGGCGCTGCCACGCGAGCTCAAGGGCACCAGGCACTAGTGTGTTCTGTGGTGACCCGTTGAGGAAGGCACAGCCCTCCAAAATGCTGGCCACGGCGAAGAGCGTTGAGGGCGACACCTCCAGGCCCAGCTGTAGGTGCAGGTGGGCAGTCAGCCTGGAGAGGTCCTTCAGGGCTGGCCCTGACCCTGCGCCACCCGTGGGCACACTCACCTGAATGGTGCGCAGCAGGTTCTCAGCGGTGTCATTGAGGCCCGGGACGACTTCGCAGAAGCGCTCCGTGTTCGCTGTCCACAGCACGATGACTTTGTCCAGCCCGGCGCTGGACCGGAAGTCGCAGATGTCCCTGCGGATCTGCTCCAGCTGAGGGGTGGAGGGAGTTGAGGTTGTACAGGTCCCCGGACCCCTTTGAGGCCTGGGCTACTCAGTTCCTCAAGTGCAAAGTGGGGCACGGACCCTCAGGATGGGAGCATGGGGACAAAAGAAGGATAGCACAAACAGGAATAAACAGGTGGCAGAGGGGAACAAGTGGCAAGGGATAAGGGACTTGGGGTGGGGCCGCACCTGCTGCGCTCGCGTGCCTGGGATGAGGTTGTCAGCGCGCACGCTCTGGTTAGCGGCGATGAACTCAGGAATGTAGACAGAGGGCCGCGGGCGCAAGGCCTCCATGTGCGGCCACAGTTGCTCCTGCAGCCCCCAATCCAGTACCTGTGCACGCCGCATCGCCTCGGCCAGGTTCAGCGACGATATGTCCCAGCCTACGAGGAACTCTCAAGCTCGGCCGGGCTCAGACCTTAGGCCGCTCCAGGCCCCGCCTCCCGCCCCACCCCCGGCCCGGGACCCCGCCCACCGTCGAACACGAGCTCGTCGGGCGCCACCATGGGCAGCAGTGCGCTGAAGGGCACGAACACCTCCTGGCCCTCGGCGTCCAGGCCCAGGCTAACGGTGCTCGCCTGCGTCAGCGAGCCGTAGTAGTTGGCCTCCTGGGGGGCGGCAGGCGGGGCGAGGTGAGGGGTGGGCGTGGCGCGGGCCACCAGACGGCCAGGGCCCCGCCCGGCACCCTCGAGCTCCGCCCTACTTTGGGGCGCCTCAGTTCTGCGCTCGAAACCCGGGCGGAAGCCGCTCCCCCGCCGGAGGTCCCTCCCCGGAGCCTGCCGACACCTTAGGCTCCGCCCCCGCAGGACCCCCCGAGGAGTCCACCGGCAGCCAGGCCCCGGCCCGCGCGGAGCCCGTCCCCTGCGGACCCCCTCCTCCGTGGAACCCCGCCCCTGGAGGCCCCTGCCCCTCCCGCACGGACTCTGGCGGAGCCCTCTCTCGCGCCGCACCCCGCCCGACCCCCCACCTTGCGGCCGGTGCGCGTGGGCCAGGACAGGCGCAGTCGGTTGGCCAGCACGGCGGCGGTGAGCGTGGAGCCGTTGTTTCCGCCCCAGCCGACTAGCATGACCCCGAGCCGGGGCACCTGCCTGGCGGTCCGGAAGGTGAAGCGCGTGGACGTGGGGTGCACCTGGGGGCGGGCGGCGCAATGTGTCTGGGGTCCCAGGCCCTTTCTCCCTCACCGCAGGGTCGGGGTCGCAGACGTGGGGCAATCCCCAACCACTCACAGCTCTCCGGGTCCCCCATTCCTACGCCTCCCCCCCCACCCCCCGTCCCTCGCCCACCTTGAGGACGCCGCCGTCGCGGCTGACGCGTGTCGTCCGGTACTCGTACTGCGCTTCGATGGCCTCGGGGCCGTAGACTACGTCGGGGCTCTCGACCACGAACTCGGCTGCGGCCTTCATCGCGGCGAGCTGGGGGCGTGGGGTTGGCAGGTCAGCGGGGACACGAGAGCCGGCCGGGCAGAGCCGACTTCGGTCCCCGAGGCCCTCGCATCCCGCCCGGGGCCGCACTCACCGGCGCGGAGTGCGCTCGGACGGCGGCGGACGGCGAGTGGTCCGGGCGCGCGAACTCCAGAGAAAAGAGCCGCCGCCCCGCCCCCGCCCCCGCCCCACCTGACCAGGGGCTGGGTTCGGGGCTCCCGGGCGGTGGGGCAGCCTGCGCCAGGGGAATCTAATCTGCACCCCGCGTCCCTGCCCCGGCTTTGCGGGCGGCGCCCCCGCCCCGCCCTGGCTTTGTCTCTCCGTGGATACACCGCGCACACCCCGCCTGGTGTTTACCCGGGCACTCAACTCCCTGGCGGGAAGGGCGGGCGCGCCGGGGAGCAACGAGCCTGCGCTCACCTGCGCAGCCCCTGCCGTGTCCCTCCTTCCCACTCGATGCCGGCCGCGCTGGGCCCCGCACGTGAGCCCCGCAGCGCAGGGCCCAGGACTGCCCTGGCCGCTCAGCAGGTGGCGGTGCAGCCCCTGGACGGCTGGCACCGCTAGACCTGCCCGCTGCCTCCAGCCCAGGCCAGGTCGTGGCAGCCCAGCCTCACAGAGCTGTCCAGCCACTCAAGTGCTCCCGATCCCCCCAACCATCCACCGTATTTGAAGCCAGCAACCCCTGCCCCCCATAGTTCCATACCCCAGAGAAGCCAGATAGGCTGGGCCTTCTCTCCTAAAATGAACATTTGCTTTCGAATGGCCTCATGATGACCCCAGATCCCAGCAACTGAGCTGGGAGCCTACCTTGATCCCAGGAAAGGACCCTCCACCCAAACCAACCCAACCCCCAAGCCATGGCCTCACCAGCCAGAGCCAGGACCATAGTCTCAGCCATCCCCCATGCACTTTGCTGAGATCCCAAGGGGCATGGGCCCTCTTTGTCCTCTCCTTCCTCCTCTCCCTCCTCCCTATTCTCCCTTTCCCTCCCCTTCCTCCTCCTCTCTCCTATCTCCTCTTCTTCTCCCCTTTCCTCCTCCTCTACCTTCTCCTTCTTTGCCCCCCCTTCCCCCTCCTTCTCCTTCCCCTATTTTTCCTTCTCTTCTCCCTCCTCCTCTCTTTTCTCTTGCTTCATTTTTTTTGTGAGGAAGATCAGCCCTGAGCTGACATCCATGCCAATCCTCTTCTTTTTGCTGAGGAAGACTGGCCCTGGGCTAACATCTGTGCCCATCTTCCTCCACTTTATATGGGACGCCGCCACAGCATGGCCTGACAAGC